CTAACCCTTAACCTAACCCTTACCTTTATGTGAATCGGCTTGTTGTAATTTAATTTTTATTTCAATTTTTCGATCTTTTTCGTCGCGTTGTGATGACGTCACATATGTGATTTTGTCGACTGTGCTTTTGTGGAACGCGGTTTTGACGGGTCATGCATTTTGGTACATGTACACAGACAGATGTGCACAAATATGTAACACCATGACCATCCTTAACAATTTTTTAAAAAGCTAAATAGGTTTGGCATTAAAGTCAACACTGCAATCCAAGTGCTGTAAATTTGACTGGGAAGTTTGAAAAGTTGCAGAGGTAATGGCAAACTATTTCTGGCTGGTTGCCAAGAAAACAACATGAGTGTTTCTGTGTAGTAACCAGAAATCCAGCTGAGGTTGGGTGAGTTTACTTTATAGAAACAGAGTAGGAAGATGTGTTATCTCACTTTTTTCATTTTTGAGAAGAGTTAAGGAGCAAAATGGGTAATTTAAGTCTCTAAGAGGTATACAGTAGTTCTCATTTTGTACTTTAAAAGGCCCCCATTCCCCCAAATGTAAAAAAAGAGGACCAAAACTCTTGGCTCTGCCCATTCCAGCATTATCACATCACCAGTTACACCCCTTCAGTTTAAAGGCCAAGATTTTTTTAAACTTACAAAAAGTTAAGCCACCAGGGAGTTGAAAATCTTTGCATTAAATGATAGACACATATAAATAATAGAAATGTGCAGGATAACACCAAGTTCATTAGATTTGGTTATAATTGGATCTCCATAATCCTGTTCTGTTTCATTCTGTTACTGCATCAACCAAACATGTCAGAAGAGGTGCAGTGCCAACTCACTTCAGCACCACCCCATGGTGATCCCTAAATGATTACTTGGGACCCCTTGTATCAACATAGGTAAAGGTAAAGGTTCTCCTTGCACATATGTGTTAGTCGTTCCCTCTAGGGTGCTCATCTCCATTTCAAAGCCAAGGAGCCAGCGCTGTCCAAAGACATCTCCGTCATCATGTGGCCAGCATGACTAAATGCCGAAGGCACACAGAACACTGTTACCTTCCCACCAAAGGTGATTCCTATTTTTCTATTTGCATTTTTACATGCTTTCGAACTGCTAGGCTGGCAGAAGCTGTACAAGTAATGGGAGCTCACTCCGTGGTGCTAGGGATTCAAACCGCCAAACTGCTGACCTTTCTGATCGACAAGCTCAACATCTTAGCCACAAAGCCACCATGTCCCTTGTATCAACATAGTGCTAAGCATTTAAGAGGGCTGCTTTTCTTAGCAAACAGCCAACATGCAGAATAATAGACTAGCCATTATTAACTCATCCACATATGGTAAGCAATATATATAGTGATAAGTCAATCATCACAGTCACATTTAACAATTGGTATTCAAAATGCAATTTATTGATAATTTAAACTCACTATTAAATAGATTTACTAGAGAGTAACCAATACAAGACTTGGTGGAATGAATTTCTGTGCTCTTCACAGTGAAGCTTTTGATTTTGATTTTAGATTTTATTTTATTTGTCTTGTATGCCGCCCACTCCCGAAGGACTCCGGGCGGCTCACAATAGACAAGGGAAAGGGGGAAAACTAGACAAAGACAACACTTTAAAAACAAAACCGCAACATTCACAATTTCCGTGGGGCTGGATATTTCACAGGCCCCCCAGCCAGCTGGAGCAGCCAGGACTTGGTGGCTTTGCGGAAGGCCGGGAGGGTAGTAAGGGTCCGGATCTTGACAGGGAGATCATTCCAGAGGGCTGGAGCTGCAACAGAGAAGGCTCTCCCCCGGGGGGGTCACCAGCCGACATTGGCTGGCAGATGGAATCCGGAGGGGACCTAACCTGTGAGATCTGATCGGTCTATGGGAGGTAATCGGCAGGAGGCGGTCTCTCAGGTACCCAGGTCCGATGCCATGTTGCATCTTTACAATGCA